TAATTTCTGTATGTTCGTGTATGAAAACAAGAAAAGATAGAGGTAGTACGAAAAAAAGAAAAATTTTATTATATCATGGAAACAAGTTTCCTTAAGGACAACAACAACAACAACAACAAACAATACAAATATATAAAAAATCGCTGAGCAATAGAACAATTAGTCATAATTTAATTGTAGAACAATGGCATATTAACAATGTAATAATATAATAATAATTATATATAACATATACACAATATATACACATACACACATACATACATACATAAATACATACAATACACTCTTACAATATACAACATAAAACATACATTATTTAGAAATCGTGAGATGCGGTCTGGTGTGACATAGGTTTTAGGTTAGAAAAACATTTTCTTTGTCGTGCTACGTTTCGATCTTTATTGAGATCATCTTCAGGGCCTTGTATTGCCTGTATTTCAACTAAGAATATCCTTGAGTGCCATCTCAACACGACACCCAATAATGAAACATCTACACAGAAAACAAACACTTTGAGCACTGAAGATGATCTCAATAAAGATCGAAACGTTGGCACGATAAAGAAAATGTTTGTCTAAAACCTACATCACACCAGACCGCATCTCACCATCTCTGAATAACGGTGACTAAACACCACACAAGAAAACATACATCGTACACATAATAATAAAATTATATAATATAACGGAATAATATAATGAAAGGAATGTAATACCAAACAAAATTACAATAAGAACAAATTAATAAAAACAAAACAGATTTATTTATTTATTTATTTATTTTTTATTTTTTTTAAGAGAGAGAGAGAGAGAGAGAGAGAGAGAGAGAGAGAGAGAGAGAGANGAGAGTGAGAGAGAGAGAAAGAACCATAAAAGGAGACTGAAGGGTAATAGAGAAAGAAAGAGAAAATTAAAATAACGGAAAAGAAATAGAAAGAAACAGATATGAGTTTGGATAAATATGAAGAAAGATGAAAGCCAAAGAATGTAAAAAGACGTCGAGGCAGTGTGAGAAGGGTGCAGTGTGAAATTGAAATTGAAAAAACGAAAGATAAGAAAGAGCAGGTTAACAAGAAAGAAACATAAAACGAAAAATTAAAAACAGGAAATATGTTTAAAACGAAACAAACACAGTGAGAAGGCAAAGAAAGCTAGAAAATCCCTAGAAAGATAGAGCGTTAGAATCTTAGATGTTAGACGATAGATAGAGTGTTCGTAAATAGATTGATAGAGAGAGAAAAAGAAGGAGTGAGAGAGTGAGTGAGAGTGACAGAGAGTAGAAGAAAGAAAAAAGCGAGAGAACAATAAATTGAGAGTAAAAACTACTGCTATTCCATTTGACTTTGATTTTGCATACTTCTCTTTCATTTGTCATATATTCATTGTAATATAATAATGACTAAATTGTATTTCTGACTTGTATTGATAACAATAACTCTTTTGTAGTTTATCCTGCAGGATAGAAATAGGAAAACATGATGGTCTCGATGAAAAAAAAAACGGGTTTGGACAGTTTTATACTTGCTCGGGCACCAGATAAACTAATTAAAACCCTCTGTAAAACAAAAGAGTCTTCTTTAGTCGGCTATGAAGTTAGTCAAATTTATTCATGTAAATAAATCTCACTGTAAAAATGATTAGAAAAAATGTCATAATATTTATTTTTAATTAAAAGTTCTTTGGCAATTTCTGAGATTAGATATTTTTTAAAGGTATATTTATTCTGTATGTTTTTACCCTTTAATTAAATTAATATCATTTAATCGATTAATATATGGATTTATTCCCATAGAAAATGACGAATATATCATGATGAGTTTCTTCGTTAATTTAAAAAAAATCATAAAGTCACTTGTCCATTTTTTCCTATTGCTTGGCCCAAATTAATAAATAATATAATTAAATCGTAAAACAACTCTAACTTAAAAAAAACACCACTTCTGTGCTCAGTTTTTTATACCTATTATCGTCATATTACCAAATAGCATGTTTTTACTGTTCAGTTCGTAAAGAATCATTAGTTATGACATTTATTAACATTGTATTTATTTTATAACCGACATCATTGAGATGTGCGCCTCAGCTTAGCTTGGAATGTTCGTACTGATCATATCTGGTCCGCTTGCTATCGCATTATCTACATCTGTATGAACTATTCATCACTACTATCATACCTGCCACATCTTTCTCTATATATATTACATTAGGAATATTTATTTGACAGGATTTATGGATGAAAAAACACCAACTTTTCCCAAATCCTGAAGAAGAACGTACATAAAGAAGAAGAAAGAAAAAAAAGGATCCAACTGTTTATCCGCTGACATGAATGTTATTACTTAAAACTTTTCTAAATTATACATGATCCCTTCTTCTTTATGCTTAGTGCAAATTAGGATTTGTTTTAGTAAAATTTGTCAAAGTTTGTTCAAAAATTGCAGTCTAAAAATTCGAAAGTAAAAAGTCGCCCTAAATGTAGGCGCTTTATTTTATTATTGATGACTAATTTGTTTCGTTTTTTATATTTCTGTATGTCAATATACGCAAGTTAACGAAGTAATTATAAATATAAAAATTATTTGTGTACGTGGTTAAATTTTTCATTTTGTTAAACTTGGTCAGGCGATCTCTGCCTCACTCTCTCTTTTTACTTATCTATTTCTGTTCTGTAATATTCTTTTCATCTTTACCTATTTATTTTCCGTCCTGATTTACTCACCAACATTTCTTCTTGATATTTCGTACTTTGTGGGTGGCTCCGTCTGTGGGTCTCGCTCCTTTCTCTCCCCGATCTTTCTCTTTCTGTACCTCATTAACTGTCTCACTCTCCGTTTCTTTCTCCTGTCTCTCTCTCTCTCTCTCTCTCTCTCTCTCTCTATATATATATATATATATATATATATATATATATATATATACTTCCGTTTGTACTATGTTTTTATTTCTATCTTTCATGCGCCCACTTTCTTCAATTTTGTTTTTTCACCTCTTTATCACTGTCACTTTTGATCTGCATAATACTTCCTCTTCTTTCTGTATCTACCATTAACTTACTTTCACTATCTTCCTCTGTTTCTTTCTATATGTTTTCTGCTTCCTGTTTAATATCAAATCTATCTCTTAGTATGTACCTCTTTCACTTCTGTTTCTATCCTTTCCTTTTCTTTCGGATAATAAGTAACTATTTCGAGCTATCATCCTTTCTCTCTTTCTTAAGTTCTCTTAATTTATCTTTTTCACGCTCTCACTCCCGATTTCAAAGTAAGACCTCTTCATTCCTGTATCAATCATTAACTTCTCTATTTTCCACTGTCTCTGTGTCTGTTTTCTGTATCTAATATCAAATTTATATCTAGCTATTTGTCTATTTGAGGGTTTATTGTCTTTTATGATAATCTGTTATCGTTTGAGTTGGAAAATCGTGATTGGCTTTATTATTATTAATTAAGGTTTTCAGTTGAGATGAAAAAAAAGTTATTGGCACGAGAGGGATTCGAACCCACGACCTTCGGCTACATACGCCGCTGCTCTAGCCTATCTAGCCGAAGGTCGTGGGTTCGAATCGCTCTCGTGCCATTAACTTTTTTCATCTCAACTAAAAACCTTAATTAATTGTCATGTATTAATTGGTCAAGCGGACCAAGAAAGTAGTGAATTTATTATTATTATTATTATTATTTTTTTTTTTTTTGAGTGCACCACCATTGTGTGTAACAGAAGTCTGGAAGGACTAATTCTGCCTGGTAATAATATCCCATATCATATCTCCCCCCCTCTCTCTCTCATTCAATCCTTACGTTCTACCATAGAGCGATCAGAAAATTTCGCCATTGAATAATGTGAAAATTCATTATCATTTTGATCTGTCGTTTCAGTATTTCACTATTTTACAAACCAGAAACCAACTCAAAAAAGACAAGCAGACCAAAATGATAAACAAATATCACCGAGTTACCATAATAAAGCGGTTATCTAAAAGTATCAGTTTTTATATTTTTATCATCATTGTAACAGTTCGTGTATTAAAGAACAATTGGTGTTTAGAAATATATGGTAAATATTTCACTACAGATGCAATAACTCTGAAAATTAGTGATGAAGATAAATATTTTAAATTGTTATTCCTTCAGGCCACGAATTGTAATGTTATCGTCATTGATGGCCTGTCAATTACATTTGAATTATTCTAATACAGTTTTTGTAATTTATAACGTTTTTAGGAAAGGTTGTTTTTAGAGTTTTGCCAGAAAAAAAAGTCGGGGTTGTTCAACTGTAAAGTGCTACGTTCAAAATCGAATTTACAATCGGATCCGTATTAGCATTTGAATACATTAATAATCTAAATATAATTCTCACCGGCCCCAGGTGGGAAATTACTACAAAAACACGTGCGACCGAATCTTCATCGGAATTACATTGGCGGGGCGTTGTTTTCGACCGGCCGCGGCCTGAGAGAAAAATCGGAGTTCGCCCACGCACGAAACTCGGACGAAGAACAGGTTTGCCCGGCGCGACTTCCTGTCCGCACTGTACAAACGGAAAGCGAGAAACAAAAGCATTTCGAGTTCAACAACAATTGGAGACAAGAGCGACAACGTTCCAAAAATTTCATTATACGAATATTTGAATGCTAAATGTTCACCTTCTGCAAAGCAAAACAGCAGTTCGTGGTAAACTTTGTTTTAGTTTTTATCTCAACATTTTTCGATTTTACCAATTTGTGCAAAATGAATGTCTTCTGAATGTCAAACCGTCCACTAAATTTTCTTGTAGAACAGCCAGATTGAAAAAAAAACACTATTACTACTTACACCGACTTCTGAACTTTTGGCGATATTGATATGTTTGAAATGGCTTATTATATGACAGTAAAATATCGACATGATCGCCAACAGTAACAACCGTATGTCCTTGGTGGATAGAATTCGGTTAGTCTTATTAAGTCTTAATCAGCAGAAATGCAATATAGTATTTAGTAAGGTCCTGGCTCACACTGGTGAAGTAGGTAACGAAAGCTGATTTATTGGCGAGACACCCGGAAGATGAGAATTTGCAGGTATCCTTCGAATTTGTTCCGAAAACTTATCTAGAACAAAAAAAAATTGATTTGGCAGACAGTAGGGAAAGGCATGCTCACTAAAGAATTTTTTACATCTACATGGGCAAGAGTCAAGCGTAACATGTCAATAATCTACAAGGTGATTCAAGTATCGTCAGGTCATGGAAAAACAGATCATATCTTCATCGTTTTAATATTCTGCCAGATGCAAGTTGCCCTTCTGACCCAACAACCTCGCAGTCATGGACCGTATTATCTTTCAATGCAGACTTTTTGACGCGGAAAGAGCGACTCTAATAAGAGAAGTGATAACCAGAGCGCTTAAGTGGCTTCCAGAAAAAAAGTTTTCTTGTGAGTAATAGTTAAATTTGTGGAATATTTGTGCGTTTTATTAACAGTTTGGACTATGAAAATTTTTAAAATTTTTAAATTTAGCATTTAACATTAATGGTATGTGAGGTGTTTAGTGACCGTTAGTTAATGATTATTTGGAGATCGTGAGATGCGTTCTGGTGTGACGTAGGTTTTAGACAAACATTTTCTTTATCCTGCCAACGTTTCGGTTTTTATTGAGATCATCGTTAGAGCTCAAAGTGTTGAAGCTCAAAGTGTTGGGTTTCTGTGTAGATGTGTCATTATTGGGTGTCCTATTGAGAGGGCACTCGGAGAACTTTTTGTTGAAATACGGGCAATACAAGGCCATGAAGATGATCTCAATAAAGGTCGAAACGTTGGCACGATAAAGATAATGTTTTTTTAAATCCTACGTCACATCAGACCGCATCTTACGATCTCCAAATAATCATTAACTGTATGATCTAATTTGATATAAATTTTAATTAAGTGAATGCAAAATTTGTACGTGGTACATCAGAAATAAATAAAAAATTACCCCGCGACTTCATCCACGCGGGATTCTAATGTACCTTTCTAATGCGATGCAGAGTGCTAGGATGGCTTTCTAATCTAATGTCTCGTTGATCAAATTTCAGTTCACTTGGTCAATCCGTGCTAATATATTGTAAATATGACTCCTTAGGGATGGAATTTCATAAAATCCTTTCTTGTCGGCTATCCATGTAATTGAAGGAATGCACTGTCGAAATTTCAGTCCTTTAGATCCAGCGGTTTGGTCTGTGCATTGTCTGTCAGTCAGTCACGTAACTGTTTGTTTGTTTGTGTGTGTGTGTGTGTGTGTGTGTGTGTGTGTGTGTGTGTGTGTGTGTGTGTATGTGTGTGTAATACTAGAACAAAATAATAGAATATGCTAAATTCAACTTCTAATAAAACCTCTTCGTCACTAATCGGTCAGTAAAACATTTGTTGGGGGGAGGGGTCTTTCTAAATATTTGAAAGAACAAATCTCCTTACCCGGTGCGATAGATGCCGGTCTATAGCCGATCTAATAGGTTTCCCACTTCTGTAATCGGTTGAGAGGATGAGGATGATCTAGGAGGTAGCGGAGAAAATATATAATGAATAAAAATGAAAATTAATAAATAGGTGTTAATGAAATTAATGACAACTAATTAAGGTTTTTAGTTGAGATGAAAAAAGTTAATGGCACGAGAGGGATTCGAACCCTCGACCTTCGGTTAGATACGCCGCTGCTCTACCACCTGAGCTAGCGTGACCTCGATCCACTCGGACATCAACTCCCCATCACAACCCCACCTTATGAGTACCTCTCGTGCCATTAACTTTTTATCATCTCAACTAAAAACCTTAATTAATTGTCATGTATTAATTGGTCAAGCGGACCACGAAAGTAGTGAATTAATGATTTAAAAATGAAGTACACTTCACTCAAGCTCTCCGTCGCCATTTCAATTGTCCTTGAGAATCCAAACCGATTACACGACATTTGAAAAATGGCAAAAGGAGGGAAAACTCATAAGGTGGGGTTGAGATGGGGAGTTGATGTCCGAGTGGATCGAGGTCACGATAGCTCAGGTGGTAGAGTGCGGCGTATCTAGCCGAAGGTCGTGGGTTCGAATCCCTCTCGTGCCATTAACTTTTTTTCATCTCAACTCAAAACCTTAATTGTCATATATTAATATTGCTCAAGCGGACCACGAAAGTAGTGAAATAATGAAATTAATGTTAAAATGGCAAACAATTTATTAATCCTTTTGGAAATTACCTGAAGAATTGTAATATTATCGTTCGACGTGAGAGTACAAAGTAAATGAAATAAAACTAATATCCAATATATTCTGCCGAATAAAACACTCAAATTAAAATAACAAACTGGGTATAACTAAACAAAATTATCTAAAATAAGGGGGTGAATAATATGAAATTAATAATTGTTCCTTAAATTATCCTCTGTGGACATTTGAGGTGAAAGAAAAAAAATGATGAAGCAAGCTTGCATGCAAAGTTACAACGAAAAAAATAAATACAGATTTTGAAGTACGATGTCGATGAATGGTGGGTTCACGTTGATGGATGGACGAAGGAGATTCGAAGTCCCTGCGGTGAAATTCCAGATGTCCTGTAAGCTTCTGTTGGTCGAGCAGCGAGATTTTCTGCCAGTGATTCCCACTATTCTGGCTGATTCGAGAACAGGCGATACCAATCACTTGGGACGATGATTTCCTCGAGTATCGACGAAGTTCTCCCCTTTTTCCGAAGACAAACGAACGAAAAAATTATGAAAAAGGGTGAAGCCTAAAAAACAAAAATGGAGTCGAAGTGGTCAAGGACTGAGAACCGAATGATGTTACCACTGAGCGGAGTGTTCTCGCTGTTCGAAGGCGGGTTATTTCGGTCAACAGCTGGTACATTTAAGCGTTATCTATTGCTATAAATTTAAATTCATTAACAAAAACTTATTTTACATTTTAAAAAAGGTTTAAAATAAATTGTAATGGGAAAAGGGGAATGAAAGAAAAAATTAGAAAGGAAATATTTTCTTGAAAGTTTAGTACTTTTAAATATTAAGCAAAATGCACGAGCTCAAACAACATTCCATAATTGACATTCCCACCATTTCTGAAGGATTTCAACAAGCGTCCGTTCTGACACTAGTTAGGAAACTAACACTTGTCCCCAGTGGGAGGACGGCCTCACCTCGCCGGATTATCACACCTGATGGCGGTTGGTTCAAAGGCGGGGCGAACTGGCTCATTTGTACTAATTAGGATGGATTGGATAATCTGTTAACAGTTAAAGTGTGAACGGACGACGGTTGACCACTCCCGATGTGACGTCTGCATTTAAAAATTGTCTGTATTAAGTGGCAAGTTTGTGTATTAATTAAATTCGGCAATGATTTTTTTGGCCGTTCACCGGGATATCAATTTTTAAAATTTGAAGTAACCTATGATAAACTAAAATAAAACGTATTTACATGTGCAATCTTAATGAAGAACCAAGTGCGTTTTAGTTGGATCATGCCGGAAAGTCGTTGGTAATTATAAAAGTATCAAGACAATATTTCTTTGTTGAAACTTAAACATACTTTCTATGTTAGTGCTAATGTATTTGAAAAGGTAAATGTATGCATTATTCCCGTACAAAGGAAATTAAATGACCGCGATGGCCGAGTAGGTAGGGATTTCGACTCGTTTTTGCCGCCATGGGGGTTCGAATCCCGTCACAGAGCATGAAATTTTATTACCTTCCTTCCTGAGGTGCACGTACATACTCACGGGCTGACAAGCAGACAACAAAATAGTCTGCGAATGCGTAAGTTGACTAGTAGTCCAATGAAAACAACAAATTCACTAATTTCGTGGTCCGCTTGACCAATTAATATATTATAATTAATTAAGGTTATTAGTTGAGATAAAAAGTCATTGGCACGAGCGGGATTCGAACGCACAATCTTCGGCTTGATACGCCGCTGCTCTACCACTTGAGCTATCGTGACCTCGATCCACTCGGACACCGACTTCCCATCTCAACCGCACCTTTTGAAAAATGGCAAAAAGGAGGGAAAATTCAAAAGGTGCGGTTGAGATGGGAAGTTGGTGTCCGAGTGGATCGAGGTCACGATAGCTCAAGTGGTANGCACCCTTTGAATTTTCCCTCCTTTTTGCCATTTTTCACAAATGAAATGTCCACGGAGGTCATTTGTCGTCGAGAATCCAATCCGATTCCAAGACATTTGAAAAATGGCAAAAAGGAGGGAAAATTCAAAAGGTGCGGTTGAGATGGGAAGTTGGTGTCCGAGTGGATCGAGGTCACGATAGCTCAAGTGGTAGACCAGCTGCGTATCAAGCCGAAGATCGTGGGTTCGAATCCCGCTCGTGCCATTGACTTTTTTATCTCAACTAATAACCTTAATTAATTAGAAAACAACAAAGTTGGTCCCGGGAGACGAAAGTACAGAAGGAAACGAACACTTATCAACAAGCCAAAGAAATAGCAGCCCAATAACCCATGGTGCCGGAACCATAATTAGCATTAGAGCTCTGCTATGTTTGAGGCCTATTTACTTTCTACAGTCTGATCTCGATCATAATAGTTCCATAATGTAGGTGGTTCCACAGGTGGTTAATCAGTTCGAATCCTTACTTGACCCCTTGAAAAAAATGTTAAGCAGTTTGACTCCTCGTCCACGACACACAATTTTAGAAAAAGTTTACTTTCGCTTACTTTTCACTCTTCTGTGTAATTCTAATATTATATTTCATTTTTACAGGTATGTGAACATTTTTGTCTTCGCAGATCATCCCCACCCGTCTGTTCTCATCGGGCGTTGTTCTTAGTTGATGACAGGTTTTTACATAATACTTTATTCGCTAACCTTCGACATAAATGTTTGTACCTTGGATGATTAAGCACAAATATTTATAAGCATTGCCGGACAGCTTAAATTTTTCTTATATTTGACGGCTGACGGATTTTGTAGGAAAGTTTAGATTTTTGATATTATTACCTCGTATTTAAAATTTATCTATATCATTGTCAACCTATCATTGTCTTAAATTAGATTTTAATTTAACAACTACCTGGCAATTCTCGCAGATATTTTTATCGCTGAGTATTTTCGCCAGCTGTTAAGTTGAACGTTTCTGACTTTTTATTTCTATTTTCCATCTTTAGACAGAGATGGAGTGTCCCTTCTTCCCATTTTTCCGGCAATCTGAAGAGGTGTCACAGTCAGAAGTTTTAAGTCCCTTATTACTTTCAGTCCGAAATCGCTCAATTTTCACTAACTATCGGATTAAATATAGGGGTAAAGATTTGCATTGATTGAGGCACACTAACGACCGTATGTTACCATGAGCATCATGGGATGAAACTCAAGAAAATTTAAATTTATTTAATAAATAGGCGCTCTGGAAATAAATGAAATTACCTGGATGTTCCGTATTATCCTTCAGCTAAATTTTACAAGCCTCTAAATATTTTTTGCGAAAATTATTTTTGGATTTTTCATATCCTGGAATAGTGATAATTGCGATTCAAAGTGTTTGTTATACGATCCATTCAAATGTATTGTTTTCCTCGGAGATTTGAGCGTCAAAAGAAACCGATGAAATTGAAAGAGAACAACTAACATGTTTTAAATAAATTTTATATCTCGTAACGAACGGGAGTGTTCGTACCTGTTAGACTGTTGTGGTAGGGGTCCATTCAAACTTCAATGTGCTTAAAAGTATGTTCGATGCAAAAAATTTTTAGAATGCGGGACCTACACTTAACCAAGCAATGTTATCTAAATTCGTTTTTGTTAAAAGATAATAAAATCTCTTTCAACAGAGTGGAAGAACTCAGAAAATTATCTCTCACTTATTAGGCATGAAGATATATTTTAGACCCAAGAGTTGAGAAAAATTATGGAAATTTGGATGATTCCTATAAAAATAATCTTATCAGTCTAAAAATAGTCTGTCCTGAACAATGGGTATGCTAACTATTATGGTTCTTTATAAAACTTGAATTTGAAGAAGTCACATTTCAATATTAGCATTAACATTAACGAACTAACAAGGGGAAGACCAGGTTGGCGTTACGGATTTGGACCAAATTTTTTTTGATGATTCTACACTCCAAAATGTCGGAAACGTATCCGCCAATTCTTGTAAATAGGCCCTGGATTGGGCAAAAAAAATTTTGAAAGTTGAAATTTTCCGTTTTTTAATATTTTTATTTCGCCGTTCTACTTACTCAAATCATTTTTTATATAGATTGCAATAAAAAATATAGTAAACGATGGCAAAAGTAATCAATAACTAAATTCACTAATTTCGTGGTCCGCTTGACCAATTAATATATTACAATTAATTAGGGTTTTTAGTCGAGATAAAAAATTCAATTAATTAGTAGTCAAGTAATTAGGGGTATCTAGAGGTGCTAAAACAAAAATTCACATTTGTTTTACGAAAAAAATAAATTGCATAATTTACTACAAAAATATTTAGCTTTTAAAAATTTTTTGGTTATTGATTACTACAACTAATTAAGGTTTTTAGTTGAGATAAAAAAAATCAATGGAACGAGCGGGATTCGAACCCACGATCTTCGGCTTGATACGCCACTGCTCTACCACTTGAGCTATCGTGACCTCGATCCACTCGGACACCAACTTCCCATCTCAACCACACCTTTTGAATTTTCCCTCCTTTTTGCCATTTTTCAAATGTCGTGTAATCGGATTGAATTCTCGACGACAAATGAAATGGCCACGGAGAGCTTTAGTGAAGTATACTTCATTTTAAATCATTAAATTCACAATTTGAATTTGAAATTTGAAAAATGGCAAAAAGGAGGGAAAACTCGTAAGGTGGGGTTGAGATAGGAAGTTGATGTCCGAGGGGATCGAGGTCACGATAGCTCAAGTGGAAGAGCAGCGGCGTATCAAGCCGAAGATCGTGGGTTCGAATCCCGCTCGTGCCATTGACATTTTTATCTCAACTAAAAACGCTAGTTGTTGTAAACAACAACCAAAAAATTTCTAAAAGCTAAATATTTTTGTATTAAACTAAGTAATTTATTTTTTTCGTGAAACAAATGTGAATTTTCGTTTGAGCACCTCTAGATCCCCCTAATTATAAATTTTTAATTGAATTTAAATTTATTGATTTTTTGACTCCTAAAATTTTTCCGATTTTGAAGCAGTCGTTCTCAGAATATCTCATTGAAACGGTCATAATTAAACAACGCCAAAAAGGATTGAACGTCAAATATAACATTTGAAAGATAACAAACGCAGCTTTTTAATCTAGCATAAAAATTCATAAAATAAGAAAATATTTTTGTCAGGAATGAACCTTGATTTTAAATGGATATAATAGTCTGATTTTAATGTTTGATACAGTTACGAAATGACAATTTGTTTAAAATGAATTATCAACCACGAAAATTGGCCCTCCAGCTTTTGAGAAAATTGATGTTGCAGCTTTCACTAGGAATGTCAGTCAGAAGGTCGTCGAAATTATCAGTCAAAAAATTAATTTACACGATTTCCGCGAAAGTCGGTATTTAACGCTAGAACGATAGAGTTGAATAAAATATTCTTTCTGAGAAAACATATCCATAACATATAAACATTCATGTTTCGTTCTGTAATCATGCATATTGAATAGAAAAAAAGACCTGCCTCTCATGTTTGCAAAAAGAAACAAAAATTTGATGTTCAAGTGTTATCGTATCCAACATCTAACATCTAGTATCACTGATTTTTACAGTTCACTTCTCGTTACACGTCATTGTGAGTCATTGGTAAAATTGATTTTTTTGACCATTCCACACCTTTTTTTTTGGGTAAGGCCGTATCAAGTATGGGGAATAGAAAATGCATTCTAAAGCGGGGGAATGACTCATTTTTCGTTTCATCCGGCAATGCAGCAGGATGTGGGTAATAAGTTTTCACTTTTAGCGATCGACCCGTCTTGCAAACTAGTCCTGAATATATTATTTATTGTTGTCACTGAAATCAAAGCTGAGCTAATGCTTACCGTTATAAAATAACATTATAATACAACAAGAAAATTATTGTTGTGTGAGCAATTGTAACACTACACACAACCGTGACATATCTATAGAAAACACAGACTTTGAGCCCGAAAGTGGCGAACGTTGGTGAAAACGAAAAAGGAAAAGGTTTTTCTAATCCTACATCACACAAGACCGCAACTCACGAGCTCCAAATAAAATAACCGTCTTGGCCTTTTGTTTAACTGTGCCTAAGCCGTGTTCGGCTCTTTACAGTTTTCTTTGGCTGATCTTTATGTTTTTCTGCTTTTTTATTTAAGACGGAAGCTTGAACTTTTTATTGTACGATCTTTGACGGTCGCATCTCTCTCTCTTCTGGCGAGCTCTTAGTTGACATCCGGGATGGGCATCGTGGAGGCGGCTCGCTCGGGATATCAAGAGGAGGAGGTATAGGCCTTATTATTATTTTATGTCTTACTTTGTATTCATGTCCAATTTTCAATTCTTGTATTGCGCGGCGTGAGTCAATCATTGTTCAACTAATGGCGTAGTGCCCTCTACAGTGTCTGTGTCCATATCTCCATGGTCTACGGTCTGCTTGTTCAGAACAGTTGGACTGTTATGGACTGTACTGGTGTCCGCTGATTCCCCATGATCTGTGGCACACCAGGCTACTGCATGGGCTTCGCATTGCTTGGACCCTGCGAAATGCTTGCTATGTCTGCTTACCTATACTATACCTGTCCGATAGCAATGGACACATCTGGTGGTATCGCATTTGCATTGTCGTGTGTCATGGGCGCCAGCGCAAATCCCGCAGACCTGCTCTTTTTTGGAACATGCAGTCGATACATTTCCGTACAGCTGACAATTGTAGCAGCGAGTGACACCAGTATAGTCCTTCACAGTGCAGGACTGATAATCAAGATGTTGCAGGTTTCCACGTATGCGGGTCAACTTCTCTTACCCACGATTCGTATGGGGACTCTTCCCTAGTACCGGGACCATATCTTAGGGTGAAGAGCGGCCGGATATTCGCTTTTTCCCAAACCCCGTCTATGTTAATATTTGCAGAAAGCTGCTCCTTAAGGTCCTCCGACTTGTTTTCTTTGGGCACCCGCAACAGGAGTATTCCGGGGTTTCTTTTCCCAGCTGCTCAGACGCTAAGGCCAGCTTGGCCAAGTGCCTCGTTTCCCAAAATGGCTTGCCTGTCTGCTGGAGTTTCGACTTTAACTGCTTGGCCCCCTTTCGCCATTACTCTAATATCATCAATACGAACACGGGTATGCCTAGGGTTAATGATTTGTTTAGTTTTCTTGAGAAGCTCATGCGGATCTATTTTCTCCTGCGAATCGATGAAAACCATCTTCATCTGAGTTTCGGCAGCTTCTTGAGCTTGGTTCATAAGAATTGTTTTGTCTCTAACTTCAGTTCTGTTGACTTTCGTCTGAAGAGTAGCCTGATCTGATGATTGCGCCTTGTTTCTCCTGGCAACTACCGTCGATTATGTATCTCTTGACGTTTCTGTATATTTTTTGCTGGTATCTGAGCTACTAACACCATTTTTATTACGAACATTAGTCCGAGGGTACGGTTGTTTTTCCGAGTTATTGGCAATTTCCGGGGGAGGGTTAGACTTTTGGTTTCCTGTTGGCTGTGGCTGCTTTATGTTATCTGCTAGGTTTCAGTGCTTTGGGGAGAGCTTGGACCAAAGTGTTCGTGTCCATTTGTGTTATCTGCTTTCCCTTTCAGGAAGGTGTGTTCTATTGTTAGATTATGCAGAATGCTCATTAGTTGATCGGTTAACTGTATGATGTATGCAGCAGCCGGATTAGGGCATTTGTTAGCAGGCTCAATCAAATATTGGGCAATTTGATTAGACGTTTTTTGATTTGTTTCTAATTTTCCAGACAGGTGAACATTTCCTTGGATGGGATCTATTTTCTTTCTTTTTATTTGGGTATTATGGTCTGTATCGCTCGAGATAGACGCATCCGATAAAGACGTATCATCTTTTGGAACTATTTTTGTTTTAATGGCTTGCTTATTATTATCCTTTGGAATGACCGAGGTATTCAGATTAATATTTCAAGTTGTACTACCATTCCAAGGTGGGCGAGTTTTCCCAGGTGGGGCCATGGTTCATTTATTTCTTAGAATGTTTAAATAATATAAGTATAATTTAAAATTCAATAATTTAGAACAAAAACAAATTATGCACTGATGTAATACAAGCTGGTAGAGGGAAAATTGAAAAAGGGAATTTTTCCCGTTTCAGAGATAAACCATAAATCAGCTGAAAGGGAAAAAGGGAAAATTTCCCTCAATGCACGATAACTAAAAACAACCAGCTGAGAGGGAAATAGAACAAGGGAAAAATGATACGGATGGAAAAATTCCCTCAGCACTCAGTTGCTAGGAGATTTTTCGTTACAAACAAACCGAATAAAAAGATTCAATAAATCAAAAACAAATACAAATATAGCAGGGTCGTACCTGAAATGTTCTTGTTGAACAATGCAAAGTTTTGAAGAAGAATAAAAGACGAACAATTTCCACCCACGCACAAGTTGAAAACACTCCTTTTAACCACTTAAAAATCAAATTTAATGCAGAGCTAAAATTTAGCGTGCGTACTCGGCAAGATCCGAAACAATCCAAATAAAATAACCATCATAAAATACTAATGGTGGTACATAATACATTTAAATTGTAAACTTGATGAACTTTTTGTTCTACCGTAATCATAACAGTTACACCAAAACGAATTTTAGCCGCAACGTCTCCGAAGCCACTGTCATCATTAAATAAAAAACATTTCCGACCTTTCTATCTATAAAAAAATTGAAACAACGTTGAAAACTAAATGTCAGTTTTACGCCTAACGAAAGCTTACAATTTATACCTACCACAGGCTTTGTTTTGTGGATGGTCGTTCCACTAACAAATGTGATAGGTAGGTTACATCGCGTACGTTATACCGAAAGTGGCATTTTAAAAATGAGGGTTAACCACCGTGTGGTAGAAATGGTCAATTTGAGTCGGCTTAGTAATAAATGACCTCGGTTCTCAGCCATTGTTCCAGGCTCAACGCATTTATCGTAGTTATATTATCCAGTCGCTACCAGTCAACATATTGGATATTGTTGTTTGAATCCACCAGTCTCTTTCAAGTTTAGATCATACACTCGGTTAAGCATAATACAGTATTATGATTCGTGATTTAAGTTTAATAAACAACATGTGGGAGGCGCAAAATATGAAAAAAAGTGAATGAGGCGAATTATCCAGTCACCTATAGAAAACGTTGTGGCCTATACAAAAAAAACAACAAATTATTCATATTCCAGCAGATACTCATTTCGTTAAATGTAATAAATTATACAAACGATACTCAAAAACATTCACAAATATCTAATCATCCGAAAAGGGTGATTTGCAATACCAGAAGTTCTGTTAAATAATAACTTTGATAATATTGTCCCCCGCTGACGAAACAATGTATACAAAAGAGGATAAGCGAAAAAATAGTAGACAAAAAGCCACGGGGCAAGAAATTTCATGTGTCATTAAGCAGAACTTACCGGTTTATATATTCTCGCTTATTAATAGCATTTATGGGAGAATAATGAAAAAGGAATATAAGAAACATCAGGGCGGTCAATGAGCGAATACAGAAATAAAGAGGAAGGATTAATAATTTTCACAAGCTACTAGAACAAGTCAATCACATTGACATTTAGAAGTTGGTCAGCTCAGCATACATTATTAAGGAAGTGAAAGTTAAATGCATCATGAAAGTCCATCATACATGAATTGTGACATTTAAAACAAAACAGTAAAGCCAAGTATATATTTTAGACAAAATGGCAGTTTCATATTCAAATGAAATCAATATTATCGTAAAAATTCAAAAAAAAATAAATTCTTTAAAAATTTTATTAGGAAAAACGTACTATAAAAAAAATCTGTGAGTTGAGGCAACATAGAATGTGTGGTTGGCATATGGTGATAAACGAACGGTCGGAAATTGATTCTCAGCAATTAAGGAAGGACCCCTAGATGAAAGAAGAAAAAATTAAAAATCTGATACTCCAATATTGTACTTTGTTACGTTCTTACCAGCCACCCAGGGTCCTTCCAATGGAACTGATTGCCATGCGCATAGAATCAAATTCCGACCTCTGGACACACGCTGTTGTGATGTTCGAAGATATTTATGTGTCTGGTCGTATCTGATGTTCAGGAATGTAGGTGTTCTTGGGCGTTTAGGTGCTACCGCTACCGGCCGGAATTGATTCTCAGCAAGTAAGGAAGGACCCACTAGATGAAAGAGGAAAAAATTAAAAATCTGATACTCCTATATTGTACTTGTTTCGATCTTACCAGCCACCCAGGGTCCTTCCAATGGAACTAATTGCCATGCGCATAGAATCATATTCCGACCTCTGGACACACGCTGTTGTGATGTTCGAAGCTATTTATGTGTCTGGTCGTATCTAATGTTCGGGAATGTAGGTGTTCGTTGGCGTTTAGGTGATACCGCTACCGGCCGGAATTGATTCTCAGCAAGTAAGGAAGGACCCACTAGATGAAAGAGGAAAAAATTACAAATCTGATACTCCTATATTGTACTTTGTTTCGTTGTTACCAGCCACCCAGGATCCTTCCAATGGAACTAATTACCATGCGCATAGGATCAAATTTCGACCTCTGGACACACGTTGTTGTGATGTTGGAAAGCTATGTATGTGTCTGGTCGAAATGATTTCGGGAATGTAAGTGTTTGTGGGCGTTTAGGTGATACCGCTACCGGCCGGAATTGATTCTCAGCAAGTAAGGAATGACCCCCTAGATGAAAGAGGAAAAAATTAAAAATCTGATACTCCAATATTGTATTTGTTACGTTCTTACCAGCCACCAAGGGTCCTTCCAATGGAACTAATTGCCATGCGCATAGAATCAAATTCCGACCGCTGGACACACGTTGTTGTGATGTTGGAAAGCTATGTATGTGTCTGGTCGAAATGATTTCGGGAATGTAGGTGTTTGTGGGCGTTTAGGTGATACCGCTACCGGCCGGAATTGATTCTCAGCAAGTAAGGAAGGACCCCCTAGATGAAAGAGGAAAAAATTAAAAATCTGATACTCCAATATTGTATTTTGTTTCGTTCTTACCAGCCACCCAGGGTCCTTCCAATGGAACTAATTGCCATGCGAATTGAATCAAATTCCGACCGCTGGACACTCTGTTGTGATGTTCGAAGCTTTTTATGTGTCTGGTCGTATCTGATGTTCGGGAATTTAGGTGTTCGTGGGCGTTTAGGTGATACCGCTGGCGGCCGGAATTGATTCTCAGCAATTAAGGAAGGACCCCTAGTTCAAAGAGAAATATATTAAAAGTTTAATTTTTGATACCTTTTTATGTTGAGAATAGATATTCAGGTTAATGTTACAAACGTTTACTTTAACTGCCCGTGTAAATTATAGCAATGCTTGCTATATCGCGCTTGTACGACTGGTCATTTGTGCACAATGATGGAAGGTCTCCCATTATTAGTAATAATAATAGTTTACACATCAATTAATTATTTATATTAGTTACGTTTCAGGATAATATGAGCTTTTCCTCTTACCATTTATCCAAAATCCTTCCTTGTCATTGGAATGTTTCTATATCCGAACGTTCGCGACAATGTCACTTTACTCTTCGTTGTTTTAAACATTTATGAAGATTTTAAAAATTTGAGCCTTAACGTCACCTTGGTTTCCAGCATTTTGTTTCTTTACTCATTTGTTTACGTTCCTTTGTTATTTTTAAAATAACTATCATATATATCATGATCTGCATACACAAAATTAGTTCTGAGCGTTTTATTACCGAACGAAAAAAATTACTATTTGTAATTCAAAAATAATCAATTTTTTTAATTTTATTGTACACAATTATTTCCCATGTGGAGTGTATGTGTCTTTTTATATGTGGATTCAATTTTTAATTAGCATATGACGTCAGAAAAATTATAGCCAGATGTATCTAAAAAATTATATTTTTTAGTTAATCAATTTTTTAGTTTGTCATAAGTTTACAACCAATACATAATCAGTTATTTGGTTTTTAACGGCGAATGTCCCTTTTACCTTTTCTCACATAACATTGTATGTTATTTAGTGTTTAGTTTGTCGTCGATTTATTTTCTTCGACTTGGAGGTACTAGCATAACGTGTCAACGTTAAAATCAAGATGTACTGTTGTTCTCTGGTCTATACTTAATTAATTTGTTTGAACTGGCCTGGATAATTATTGAATATCCAATTTCACCTCTGTTTTTTTTTTCTGGGTATAAAGTGTCTTCATGATGGTCCCGATAGGAATAGGAGCGGAAGCGACAAATTTCCGCCCGCGGGGACCATCCTTGAATTATTTCCAAGTCGTATTAAATGTAAATCCTTCGTTTTCTGGCCAGCCGACGTCGTCTCCCTATCTGGGCCTCCACCCCTCCGCGAATTAGCATAGAACCGAGGATCCGACAATAAACCGAACCCACCTAGTTTCCCAGTCGCAAATCCTCTTTAGTAACTTACCAACAATGAGCTCCGCGTCCCTCGGGGGCGACCGCGTGAATCCGGAATACGTTTAATTTCACTTTTGCCTATGTTATTTTCATACGTACAATATTTTACGCACAGCCGGGTATAAGCACCATTGGGACTTTTAAATATAATAAACAAACCTTATAAAAATATTATTCATACAATTAATTCTCTATAGTATACAGGCTATTAAAACATTAAGCAATAGGAATTAGTGAAAATGAGTACTAATCAAGCGTATAATTCTAGCCCGGTTGATTACTGGTAATATGACATTGTACTCCTGGTTGTAATTGTAATCCTTTTGATCAACGAAACTGTAGTCTATCTCTGCACTAGGGAAATGAATGATAGTTTGAACATTACAATTATATTATGATAACGTTGAATAAATGAAAATAATTCGAATCCTTACGCAACATTTTCTTTTTACAATAAGAATTTTGTTTTCATAGATATTGTACAGATTCGTAGGTATTATATTATTGGCCTACAAATTGTTTTTCCGGATGTATTTATACTACCAGTAAATAATTTATTTTTTTATATTTTAACACGTCCAATCCCTACGTTCCAAGCACACTTGTTCCTGCTCTCTCTCTCTCTCTCTCTCTCTCTCTCTCTCTCTCTCTCTTTCTTTCTTTTTCTTTTTCTCTCTCTCACTGTCTGTTTGTTTTTGTTTGCGTTTGTATAATTTGAATTTGCTCTTCTATTTATTTATTATCAGTAAATAGTATATAATGTTTATTCGTTTGTCCGTATTATTTAAAACAACAAATATTATCTATATCTCTGAGGTTCTTATTTGTAATATTATCTACCTCCATTCTCTCATGCGGTTTATCAGTAACTACCTATCTATCTAATGAAAATCTATTTCAATATCTCTCTTTTTCTTTTCTTCACTATTTTGCTTTGTCTCTGTAACTTTACCTGACCCTACTGCCTCTCTCTCTTTCTATGTATCTGTCCTCCTCCTTTCTATATGTCTCTCTCTCTCCCTCCCTCCTTTCTTTCCTCACTCTCTCTCTTTCTCCTTTCCTTTCTTCTCTCTCTCTCTCTCTCTTTCTCTCTCTCTCTCTCTCTCTTTCTGTATATATTCACCCTCTTTCTCTATATGACTCATTGTCTTTCTTTATATCCCTCTGATTTCCTCTCTCTTTCTATGTATCTGTCCTCTTCCTTTCTATATGTCTCTCTCCCTCCCTCCTTTCCTTTCCTCTATCTCCCTTTCTCCTTTCCTTTCTTCTCTCTCTCTCTCTCTCTTTCTCTCTCTCTCTCTCTCTCTTTCTGTATATATATCCCCTCTTTCTCTATATGTCTCATTGTCTTTCTTTATGTCCCTCTGATTTTCTCTCTCTTTCTATTTATCTGTCCTCTTCCTTTCTTTATGTCTCTCTCCCTCCCTCTTTTCCTTTCCTCTCTTTCTTTATTAATATTATATGAGTCATGGCAAAAGTATTTGAAAAAATTATATTTAGACAATTACAACAACATATTACTAGAAACAACATCCTTAATGAATATTACTCTGGATTTAGACTTGGTTACAGAACAGAGGCTGCATTGATAAAGGTTATGGATGATTTAAGAAAAAATATAGATGAGAGAATGGTCTCACTTTTAGTCTTAATTGACTTTAGGAAGGCTTTCGACTTTGTGCAGCATACTCTATTATTGGCAATCCTTAAGTCACTACATTTCTCTGATGCACGATTAAGTGGTTTTCAACATACTTGATAAACAGGTATCAATGGGTTAAGGATGTAGATGGAGAAGTTTCACACTGGAAAAGGTTATTATCTGGAGTTCCTCAAGGAGGTAATCTATCAGCGTTGCTGTTCATTTTATTTATAAACCAAGTTTTAACATGTTTTAAAAACGTCAAGAGCATGATGCTCGCAGACGACCTTCAAGCAGATTGTTCAGATAACAAAGAAAACGTGCATGTAATGGTTGATAAAATGACTAATGACTTGAAAGAACTAAACCGATGGTGTGAACAACATAAGGTATCAATAAACTATGATAAATGTCAAGCAATGCTGATAGGAACTAGAAGAAACTTAAATTACATAAATGTTAAAAATGTAAATATCTTAATAAATAACCACAAAATTCTGCTGTCCAAATCATTAAAGAAACTTGGTGTCACAGTCGATGAAACATTGTCTTGGTCAGAACAAACCATCGATATTTGTAAATAAACATTCCAGCTGCGAAATGTCCAGGTTGATCTTCCACCTGAGTAGAATTACAAATTATAAAATCTATCTTGTTCCCAATCTCTGATTATGCTTCCCTATGCTATTATAATATAATTAAAAAAAATTAGAAAATCTACAAAAAGCACAAAATGCTTGCATAAGATAGGTTTATAATATCGAATACATTTATCATGTCACACCATATTATGCCAAAGCAAAAATTTTACAAAATTAAAGAAAGAAGAGCACTAACACTCTTGATGTTCTTAATAAAATTATTAAAAAGCCAAAAACCATCATACCTGATAAATAACTTTAAATGGTATAAGCCTAAAATCAGAACTGCTATCTACAATGCATCTTTCCTTGTAAAAGCAAACAAAAACCTCTCTCCCCCCCCCCTCTCTCTCTCTATCTCTCTCTCCTCTCTCTCTATCTCTCTCTCTCTCTCTTTNCGTGAGATGCGGTCGGGTGTGATGTAGGTTTCAGAAAAACATTTTCTTTATCGTGCCAACGTTTCGATCTTTTATTGAGATCATCTTCAGGGCTCAAGTTCTAAATTATACATGATCTCTTCTTATTTATGCTTAGTGCAAATTAGGATTTGTTTTAGTAAAATTTGTCAAAGTTTGTTCAAAAATTGCAGTCTAAAAATTCGCAAGTGAAAATTCGCCCTAAATGTAGGCGCTTTATTTTATTATTGATGACTAATTTGTTTCGTTTTTTATATTTCTGTATGTCAATATACGCAAGTTAACGAAGGAATTATAAATATAAAAATTATTTGTGTACGTGGTTGAATTTTTCATTTTGTTAAACTTGGTCAGGCGATCTCTGCCTCACTTTCTCTTTTTACTTATCTATTTCTGTTCTGTAATATTCTTTTCATCTTTACCTATTTATTTTCCGTCCTGATTCACTCACCCCCATTTCTTCTTGATATTTCGTATTTTGCGGGTGGCTCCGTCTGTGGCTCTCGCTCCTTTCTCTCCCCGGTCTTTCTCTTTCTGTACCTCATTATCTGTCTCACTCTCGCTCTCTCTCTCTCTCTCTCTCGCTCTCGCTCTCTCGCTCTCTCTCTCTCTCTCTCTCTCTCTCTCTCTCTATCTATCTATCTATCTATCTATCTATCTATCTATCTTTCTTTCTATCTAGTTTCTGTGTCTTAGTTATGTCTCTGTACCTCACTCTCTCTTTCTTTTTGCGTTTCTTTCAATGTCATTATTTATGTGTAAAAATTAGTGACCGTTAATCGATAGTAATTCAGATATCGTAAGATGCGGTCGGGTGTGATGTAGGTTTCAGAAAAACATTTTCTTTATGCCCTTGGGTGTGGGCACTCTCAACACGACACGCAAGGATGGCACAATTACACAGAAAACAAACACTTTGAGCCCTGAAGATGGTCTGAATAAAAGATCGAAACGTTGGCACGATAAAGAAAATGTTTTTCTGAAACCTACATCACACCCGACCGCATCTCACGATATCTGAATTACTGTCATTATTTATTTCATTTTTCTATCCAGCGCTTTTTAGTCTCCACACAATCTGTCATTGTTGTCTTATTCTCTGTATCTTAACTACTATTTAAT